CGCTCTTCCTGAGTCCGTCACCAGCGACGCAAAGGTGAATCAGTCCAGAGGCATCTCTCCCTCTGAAACATTTCCTAGAGCAGCTGTGCTCTTAAATTCAAGCGCCTCAATAGGGCTCTCAAATTCAGGGACAAATCCTATAGATAGGATAAGCTCTGCAGGTGACTGACTTTTAGACGCCCAGAGTCAGTTCTTCTCCTTGAATCTAGACTGTACTATTGCTCATTTGGGGGATTTACAACCACCCTCATAGACATGCTGCAAGGAGAAACACATTGAAGAATGTGCATGGCTAGTAAACTGCAATGCTGGGAGAGGCATAAGCACCAAAGACAAATCCATAAAGAGCTGATGATGTGAGAGATAAATAAGATTAGGTGCGTCTTTAGAAGGAGTTTGTTTAATTAGACTACCTGAAATGTAATGTAATTAAATTGCCATAGCTTTCCTAACGTAGTTAGGTTTTAAAACAGCATATTTCCTATGTGAAACAAACCATAAGAAGGTAATTTATCTCAGCAGATGAACAAGTTGTAAAATGAATATTTTAAAATAATGCTAAACAATAACAAAAACTTTGATAATGATTAAAAGTTAAACATAAGTTTATAGTTACTGACTTCACAGCATCTATAGAAAAGAAATTTAGAAGATCCCATCTCCCTCTGTGTGTCTCCCTTGCCTTGCAGAAAGCCACTGGGAGTTTTGTCTATACCAGGATTTCATATATGACACCGAAGCTCCAACATACCCTGTTATAGATTTCTTCACTGACAGCAGGCTGCTTTTTATTTGACCTTTTGACATCAAGAAACTCCACCAGTGGACGGATTGTTATTCCCTGGGAAGAAAATAGCAAATATTTCCGTGTTTATCCATGAATAAAAAAGGAAAAAAAATGTCTTGAATATCTTTTAGTCTCCTTGTCTTTTCTGTCTCTGTCAGAGCAGTCGTAATGGCTGTGGGTACCTTCCTAGCACTCCACAAGCACATCTGAAACTATAGTTACAATAGTGAATTCATTTTTATGGTCAGTGGGTGTTGCACTTGCCAGCCCGCAGGCTCTGCTAACATTAGAGAAGTGAAAGGGATCTCTAGAGGGAACAGGTCCCTACCTCTTGCGGCCCCAGACAGTGTGTGGCAATTTGATAAATCCAAAAAGGAATATGTCACTTACAACAACCTTCACGTTTTCAGATTTTTTTTCCAATGCTATTGTATATTAAAAAAGCCTCTCACTTGTTTTATGAATAAACAAACAACTAAATATTCATTCACTACAAAGCAGAAGGATGGAGACCTCTTTTCTAGTGGTTGCTTTCAACACAGGAACACAAAGATGTCTGAACAGTAGCACTAAAAATACTGTCCAAGACCAGTGACAAGCAGATTGTTCGTAAATACGTAAAAGAACAGAAAGTTTTGGCCACCTCATGTATTGGGGTGGCCAAAATTACAAATTCCACAATTACTTGTGGAAGAGTCAACATAATGTTTTATTTGTATAGGCACACTGAGCTGGGGAAGGCAATGAATCTCGCATCAGTCCCAACTATTCCAGACAACCACGCCATGCATTTCTTTTCATAAACGGATCGAACTTTATCGTAAAAGTAGTTAGGTTTTTTTGCCCCATTGCTCTTACTGGAACATTCATCCTGAAACTCATTGTTCTGATAATTGGAAATCTTCTTCTTAATTGCATCATGGTCCCTTTGTACCACTTTGTTCTTGTGCCAACATTGTCTTTTTAGCTTAAACAGTTCTCCTTCTCCCTTACTCCTTGTGTTTACCCCTTGATATAAATGGTAATTACATTCCCCCTTCTCCTTCATTTTGCTAAGGCCAAGACATTCTGGTCTCCTTTCACACAACAGGCTTACCACTCTCGTGATTGCTCTAGAACATGGCATTATTCTCCGCTGCAAACACTTTTTCATTATGTCTCAAAATCACATTTGCCTTTTTTCTATCTCCATTACACTGGTCTCCATTACACTGGTGGTTTTAAACTTGTACCTGTTTCTTTCTCGCTTTCTATTTTTTTTCCTAAGGCCCCCATCTCACAGGAGAGCTCCTAATAAGTAAAAACTTCCTAGCAAGAAATTGTTCTTATTACTGTTAAATTTCAATGTATTGCATCATACTATTCTTCACTGAGTCTCTTCTTCTTATGTAATATCCCACACCGTTGTCGCCCTGAGAATGGTGCCCAATGTCTGTGATCGAGAAACATCAGCACCAAAAGAATTCCCACTTTTCTGTGCCTTGGTCTATAATGAGAATACTAAATGAAGCCATCCCCATGAAACATCCTTAAGAAATTCGCTTAATCATGTCTCTCCAGAATATTATCTGCTGATGGTTGCACAATGAAGCCTGAAGAGGCTGGGAAATCTCCATCTGTGCAGATATTCAGATCACAACTGGGCATGACACCAGGCAACCTGATCTAACTCAGCCCTGCTTTGGGCAAGGGTTTGGACTACAGACCTCCAAAAGCCCTTTCCAATCCCAAATGCTCTATATTTCTATTTCCTTCTACAGGAGAAACTACCAACCCCTTCCTCATCCACTTCTACCATACCTATACCCAATCAATCAGTTTAACTAAGAGTTGAACTCATAATTTCCTGTGTAGCCTCACCACAAAGGTTTCATAATTGTCCATTTAAATGAAGTTAATAGTGTTGCCTTGCTTTATAAAACTAATTGTCTTATAAAAGAGTAACAGCTTTCCCTTTTCAAAAAACATGCTGCATTTCATAACACATTCCATTTACCCATATATTTTTAATTGTTCTTTCTTTCAAAATCAATTGTCACAACTCACATGATAAGAAAGTCAATTAACCAATGTGCAGTTGCTCAAACCACTTTTTTTTTTCTTTTTGAAGCATGAGGGCAAATACTTGCAACTTTCCATGATACCCTCCTTCATACAAAGAACACATTAAAAAAATGCCCACATATTTGAAATCTCATGTACTAGTTCCACAGAAGTTTCTTACAATTCTACATAATTACTAGCCCCATATTTTGATTTGAGTGGCCTAAGCAGCTCTGAGTTTTGATGTTTATGATCCAGATTTCATTTTATCTCTGCCCCAACCTCACTGGTTCTTAAAAGCTTAATACTACTTACACGCTAGCATAAGTACTTAACATCTATCATACCTTTACTACCCCTCTACTTCCACACATTTTTTTAAAAAATATGACCATGGAGCAATGTATAAGAGTACCTTCAAGTATGTTCCTGTAAGTGAGTGGTGATGTCTGTTTTTTTACCTACTGCTTATTTACAACCCATCTGAGAAAATAAAATACAATGAAAAATGTCCAGAAGAGAAAAGGCATTACCTGAATGAAAACAGTAAAGAATATCACCACAATAACAGCAGTGATGAACAATTTCTTCCTGGGAAATACGGCAGGAGGAAGCAGAAATACAAGTGAAAAACAAATAGCTCCCCGGAGACCTCCGTAGGCAATAATAAATTGGTCCTTAAAAGTGAGAGGAATTGTTCTGAACACATTAATGATCTGAGTCAGGACAAAAACACCTAAGAGAAAGAATGGAAATACAAGGAAAAGGAAAAAAAAATAAAATTACATGAAAATTCTCTACAGTGCTCATATTTAAAACCCTTTTTGTTTGTTTTCTATTTATATATTTTTTAAGAAATTAAATGTTACTTAGAACCTTTAAAACACCACATAAGGATCTACAGTGCTCATATTTAAAACCCTTTTTGTTTGTTTTCTATTTATATATTTTTTAAGAAATTAAATGTTACTTAGAACCTTTAAAACACCACATAAGGAAAATTTCAAATGTTCAAGGCACAACTATTTATTTAGCTACTCCGCTGAGGTCAACCAGATGTAGGACCCAAGGCAACTAGGTGTTCTCCACTAGACAGCTATCTACTAGACTTTGTCTGCATCTTCAGAATATCCATAAATCTCTCTGTCAGCATAGACCAAGGTGCCTAAATTACTTTTAAACTGGAATTTGAGGTGCTTTTGGACACTTTTACTTGTCCACTCCAACAAGTTTTGCTTTGCATTCTGCAAATTTTCACTCAGGTACTTAATTTTACATGCCTAGTAATTTTACTGTACTAGTGGTTTTGAGCATGAGGTATCAATCATGAGATTGCAGATAGTGGAGAGAGAAAATAGTTGAGATATCTGCATTAGAGGGAGACTTGGTAGATGGAAGTTTGGGTGCAGAAGCAGACCAGAGCACGAGCCACTTGTGCATGAAGTGACCCAAACACTACATTGGGGCAAGAGGAAGGCTTAAGACCTATAGGCTTGGCTTGCACTTGAGTCCTGAGTGAAAGATAAAGATCTAGTACTGTAAACACAGGAGAGGTCAAGCTATTTCTTGCAGCATTGTTTCTTTAAACATATTCCTGAAGAATATTTAAGCTACAGCATTTCCTGGTTTAATGTTATTTATATCAATGCCTAGGAAACCCTACAAACCTAGCAAACCTTAGTCAAAAAATAAAAACCTGTTTGATGGTTCCTGGACTACAAGTTGTTTAAGAAAATGTGTTTATCTGTAAATAAATATGTACTTAGCTACAAAGCGTTCACTTGGGGGAAAGGCAGAAGCTGACCCTGAAATGTAAGACAGCAGTCTTCTAAATTTGAAGTCTTCTACTTGAGGTAGGATTAAAAGTTTCATATGTAAAAAACATTGACACTTACCCAGTGCCCTCCAGATTAAACAAAAAAGGAGGGTGAAACTAACAAAGGCCCAGTTCCATTCATGATTCTTCCCAACTGTAGACACTCCCATGAAAATGAAAATTAAGGTTTCGCTGACACTGCTCAGCATCTTCATAAAATACTTTATCGTTGTGTAAGACTTTTGGGAAACGTTTTCCTCCACATACTTGTTCATGGTCATGGCACAAGCTGTAATCCTGAAAGGCAAACATTTTCTTGTATATCATTGGCTTGATTTTTTGTTAGCTCATCTCAGTTTCTGGAGAATGCCCATCACTTTTCCATGGTTCTTTTTAATATAACAAAGTATAATTGATCCCATCACCAATCGATGTTAAATTTATAGATTTACTAATCCTACAGTTTTGGATATGAGATTTTTTTTTCCACAACTTTTTGAGAAGACATTAGTACATGGATAGTTTTATCACATGCTAAAGCCACATGGTCCCTGCCGGGATCATGAAACTACATTTTGAACTTGGAAAAGGGAGGGACAGGGGGCGCCCTGGAAAGTGGGATGGCTGCTCCTATTATCCTTGCAGGACAGAAGAAGCCAGGATGGTAACTCAAATCCCAGGACACGACTTCCCCCACTTCCCATCAAAAGTTGTCCTCCTACGCCATCCCCTTTCCCAGTTCCTTTTTCCAGGCAGTGTAGGCAGCAGCAAGGCCATAAACAGTTTGTCATCCTCCTCCACTCCAGGCTACTGCTTGCTTTGCCTACGCATAGGGCTGACCATGGTCCCCATAGGAGAAAAACACAGCCAGAAGTCATGCTGGAGCAGTTGCAGATTTAAAGTGACTAAAAATGAATGGACCTGGCCTCTCAGGTGACACGTGAAAAAACAGACAGGATTTACTGTATATACATGTGTATGTGCCCTTGCTCTGACCCTGTTAGTGAACACAGGTTTTTAAGCAGCAGGAAGAGCAAATAACAATACCAGCTGTAGAGCATGTAGTACAGCTGCCCATGGTGCAGAGATGGCTGAGGACCACTGAGAGAGGTTTAACAGCTTAAAAATGGCTAGCAGTGCTGGCTGGAGGATAACCTCGAGGTTGTGCCTCCGCGTAGGGCAATCACAACCTAAATCACCTATAATTATCAGGATGGGAAACTAAGGTAAGAGTCACTGTGAAATAGTTGTCCCTCCTGGTTACGCTACTTAAGGCAAAAGCATCTGTGCCCTCCTCCCTGCAGCTAGGTCTTTCTGGATTTCTCAGATACACACAGTTTTATATACACCCATGTAAGGATCTTGAGACAAAACATACATATTAAACCTAAGTGAAGACAGAGACAGCTGTATCTGTGTTTTTGAGTATAGTCTATGAGCTATACTCAGAGGATGAGGATTTATCACTGACCATCATTGAGAGCAAATGTATCAGAAAATTAGAATAATTTCACTTCCTGCAGGCCTTCCCCTTTCTAGAGAGTCATTCTTCCTGTAGCTGATACTATGAACAGAAATGTCTAAGTGTTTTCTTCTAAAAGCAGGGATTGAATAGATCTTTTTTTTGCAAAGCAGAAAGTGGAATCATAAAAACAGTAAAAGTGCTTTAAAATAACACACTTTTTAAACATTTAGATGTCCATAACAGAAGCTGAGGCTGTAGTCGCTAATAACCTCCTAACATGTTTCTCCTAACTGTTTAAAGTTAGTGCGTTCTTTTGTCCAGGAGTTTCTTTCTGTTATACAGAGCCAGAATGATCTGGTTTGGAGGAGAAAACCCAAGATCTGAACTGCAGCTGTAGATCTCTGACCCCACCAATGCATGCACATCCTCATCCCCAAAGTGCCTGAGAAGCATTTCCTTCTGACTGATGAATCTGAGAGGCCAAGTGGGCCCTGTAAAGGGCCCTGCAGGCATATTAGGGTGAGAGGAATCCAAAGAAATGGGAACAGATGGGTTGCTTGCCGAAGAGCAGCAGAAGACTCTCAGTGTGCCTAAGCTTGGCCTTCGACTTCCATTCTTCCCACCTACAGTTAGTGACAGAAAGGAAGTCAAGTCAGCCCGAGACAAAATGGCCATTTTTATTAGAAAGTTAGCTTAGTCCCTAAACAAACTTCAGGAGTGAGCAGAAGAAAAGCTGCATAAAACACTCCCAATTCCATTGCCCTACCTACATTTAGTCCTGACATAATTGTCTGCCATCTTCTCATTGTCACCCTATTTCACCAAGATCTTTAGCAGAAAGGTCCTCTTGGTCCAAGAGTAGCATGCTCTCTAGGAAGCAGAGCTCATGATGATCATTTGCGACCAGTATGGAAGAAAAAATGCATATTTCATGAGCATGCACACTTCCTCTCTGCAATACTCCGTGCTTTAGGTGATGTTTCTGGCACTTGCCAGCACAGGCAGACCATGTCACAGGGGTTCTTCTTTCCAGCTCTTCTCGTTTTGCTCTTACAATCGTCCAGATTAGCGATTTGGCTCAATCACTACAATCCTGGGGATTGATCACTTGCACATCTTGGGAAAAATGAAGAAGATGACCTGGGACATGCTTTTTCTTTTTTTTTTTTTTTTTTTCCGCTGACATGGAGGTCAGGACATACACCCACAGTGCTAGAAGCCAGGAAACATTTCTAGGTTCTTCAGTTTACACATAGCTCCAGTGACCAACCTCAAAAGAATATGTGAAGAAAAATCTCAAATTTAACATTTTCCCTCTCCTTAATGCTATTATTTAGTGGCAATTCTGCTGAGGACACAGCTCTCCTATGTAAAAACAGATAATCTTGCACAAATACAACAAGTCCATGTATCCTGGCCACCTCCAATCCGTTGCACAGGCAATAAGGTAGGCAAATGCAGGGGCAGCAATTCCAACATACTAAGAATGCAATGGAGAGGCTGCACAATACCTATTCCCAGGCACACTGTGATTCCAGGGTCTCAAAGCTATGGCCTGCTGCCTGTAAAATTAGGGCGGTCAAGTCCACATCAAAGACAGAACAAAATACTACTCTTTATTGCCTTCTTAAAATAAATTATTTTCATAATTATAGTAATTTAGGAAGGTCCTGTAACCTGGGAAATGGGGGAGCATGCTCTGGGCACAGTTTGTTTTTGGATCCTGAGGTAATGGAGACACTGTAAATAGATGTCTGATAAGAATCTGTCACCGGATTAATCAGGATCTTTGCAAGCTGTAACTTAAAACACCTCCCATGTTTAACAACAAGAATTTAAAGGGACTATGCTCATATATATTTTTTTTCATTGCATTTTGTAATTAGCCAACAACTGAACTGATTCACCACTGCACCAAATTGCACTGCATACTATTTCTTACTCTTAAAATGAGTACTATTACACAGATAATCAATGCTTGCCCTAAGAATTTGATGTCTTTGCAGCTTATTTGTTCAGGTTAGAAAAAAAAAAAAAAACTCCTGAAGTCTCTTCAATTTAATAATGATACAGTTATAAAACGCTGGAATATGTGACAAAATCAAGCTGTTAATATATGCACAATGCTATATACATCATTATAATATCTTATTTCCAAACTAGGTTCTTACTATTGCCATAATCTAAGCAAAAGCTTACGTGTGTTTTGTTTCACATTTCTTGTCCTATTATGGATTACTTCTAGCTTCCATTTCTGTGACCTGAGGTGGTTACCTTGGTCAAGAAAGGGAAGAAAAAAAAAATAGTTAATTACACTTAACCTGCAACCTTCAGTGCCTCTGAAGAATAAAAGTTCTCCTGTACAAACAGTACAGTTTCTGTCATGCCTGGAATAAATAAGGCCACTGGGTTCAATCCTCATGTTTCCCTGACCTACTAAATTTACAGTAGTTCCAATGTTCATTCCTTTCAGCCTGGCAATTCATGGTTGCAAAAAAAAAAAAAAGGAAAACATTAAAAAAAAGCAACACATTAATATTTCTGCTGTTTCACAGCCTTTACAAGAAATAAGTAAGCAGAAGATGCACTATGATAACTAGAAATGGAACCAGGCAAATAAAGTTCAGATGCACATCTGTATCTTTTCACACCCATGATCCTGATTCAAGCCCAGCTCTAATTACAGGAGAACTTATTTCCTCTCCTGAAGAGAACATTCTCATTGCTGCTCACAAGGATGTGATTCAGTCCCTCAGCTATTTAAGCCAAGTCACCTGACTCAGGGGTTATACACAGATGTTTCAAGAATCATTTGTCCCCAGAACAAGTATATGGACTTATCAGAAGAGGGACAAGCACCTTCCCCTCTATTCCTTTGCCAGTGAATTCCTAGTTGCACAGAAATGACGCACTCTATGCATGTACCTTGTTATTAAATAATACTGTATGTTCCTGTCGATGACCTTCATCTAAAGTATCGTGCAGTGCATAACTGTGATGCCTTGTGGAGTGTGTTTAAGCATCAAGCTATGAAGGATCAAGAGTTTACAGGACTCAAGTGGATATGAGTGAAAAGAGGGAAATCGGGCATTTGTTGCCTGTAGGCTTAACTATAAATGATCACAGAATTACAGATCCTTCAAACCAAACAAGTTGCAAGGGGTTCTCCAGGGTCATTTGATGCAACTACCCGCTCCAAGCAGGGCTGCCTTTGAAATCAGAACCAAGTGAACACAATCATGTTCATGAAACTTGCTGCAGGAAATGGCATACAATGTCGGTACATGTTGCGTTTTGTGACACAGAGCAGAATATTCTCTGCAGTTAAAAACCTAATCAAATGTGAAGAGCGTGGGGTAGATTTACTCCCAGTGCACTTGGAAATTATAGAAAGTCTAAGGCCTTCAACAGCACTGCTTTGTAGGAAGGATGCTGCTCTATGCTCATGAGCTGGGGCACTGCACCTCTGTAGACACTTCTTTCTCCTCCCCCTGTTAGTGACATATCCATCTCTGTTAACTATTACAAAATATGTTTAAAGTCAAAACACATAAAATATCTTTTTTGGAGCAAAAAAAAATACTTCATATTTTCTCTATTGTTTTTCACCTTCTCAGGGGACACTGGCATAAATGAAGAAGTAATGTATTTGTGCCATGTATAGCATTAGTGTGCTGGTTCCTGGCTCTATCATGCAGTAATAACACTTGCACATTGGCAGGCCCATGGTGCCCTTTTCATTTTATCCTAGGTGCAGAATGTCCAATTCAATTTTCATGCACACTACTACAATTTTTCCTTATAAAGTTTAGCCACAGGTTTTTGGTTTAGAAGCCCTTTAAGTACTTGATCATAGGATGTCAAGGACGTTTGACTTAAGAAGAGGAGGAAACTAGAAACCACC